GTTGTAAATCATGTCGAATGTTCTTTGGGAATGGACCCATACCCCAGGTAAAACAGTGAAACACTCAAAATGGTCTATCATGAGGATCTCCATGGAGATGGCTGCGTCCGCCGTTTCTCGTTGCGAGGCAAAGTGCGTTTGATGGCCTGGGCGGCCGAGGAGGCCGGTGCCAAGCTGCAACTGTGGGGCGAGCCGCCCAAAGAGGTGGAGCCTGACGCCCACCGCAAGCGATGGGGGTCCAACCGGTTGGAAGAGTCCATTTCGTGGAGTAGGTTGTAGGGGATGTTGGTAGATATATACATATATATATATATATGTAGAAATGGAATGCAGTATCTACCTACCCGTTTGCACAGGTCCGGGCACCAATATACAAGTGGCTGATGGAACATCAGATGCTTGAGCCCAGAGTGCATAATAGGATGGCTGTGACCATTTGTCACCTCAACACATGTAGCTCTTGATGGACCGCAAGGTTCTGGCCCATGTTCAACAGATCAGACAACCGACCAAATAGCTGCTTGGGTGGGGATGTGTCATTCTTGCTTGAACTTAAGAACTTCAGACCTGCATTTTAGTGCTGCACTGAGCTCTCCATACATGGAAAACCCCAGCGTTCAGCCAAGGACCTAGCTGAGCACATTTGGAACACCTGCTCCACGCTGGCGAGTAGCTCCGATAGTCGGACGAGAAACGCCCGACTGCGCGCGGGCTGGCCATTGCCCATCGTAGAGGTCTCATCGATCCTGACCTCAGAGCAGTTGGAGTCGCTGATAACCTTGGCAAACACGCAGGACACGTGCCAATCACAGATTGAGCATGCCCTAAATAGAAACGAATTCCAATGCATTATTATTAGGGATTGGATGCTGGGGAATTTGCTAAAATTCCAGGATTCGAAGTGGTGGTTCACAGTTACCCTGAAGATAAAGAGTGTGGCAACCGGTGGCAACTGTGCGGCCCATGTGGGGAGAAGGACAGGTGACCAGAAAGCCGGTGCGCTGCAGCAGTCAAAATTTCATCAATTTGTGTTGGTCGGGTTTGTATGTGGAAACCTTGCATAGAATTTCATAGAATTTCAATATTCAGCCCTTCCTGGATCCAAATGATTCTTGATATTTCATGGTATCCTCAATACATGCGAATAATAATATGAGCAATATATGTATGGTATCATTCGGTGTCATCCATACGGGCTATATGGATATGTTCTGATGTATTCGGTATTCAGATGTGAACATCTGCTGCCCGGTTCCAACGCCTTCTCCCCGGATGCCGATGGCGTCCCTCTCCCAGGACTTGTGGCGTCCCTCCGCCCGGCGTGGTGCCGATCACCCGGAGGCCGGACAAGCTCTGCCGGGCGTCCCCTGGACGGCGCTGCTGTCCGCGCCCGAGCGGCGGACAGCGCCGGCCGCGGAGGCGATGAGGCGCTGGGTGGCGGAGGCCTTCGGGGCACCGAAGGAACATGTGGAAGCGGTGCGGTTGATCAGCGACTTGGCTTCGGTTGAGGTGACCTGGAAAAGCTGGGTTGAAGGAAATAGTTTCGAGGCGGAACAGGGGTGGAGTGGATGTTGTGTGCGAAAGAGGTGAGCAGAAGGGGGGTAAAATGGAGGGGTTGTTTTGCTTGGTTGGTATATGTTGGCATCCAGGAACCTACTAAGGCTGAGAGAGAGAGAGAGAAAGATCTGTATATATAGAGAGAGAGAGAAGCCTGGAAGCTGGCTCCTTCAGTTCACTCACTGGGGGTGTGGTGAGTACAAACACAATATCCATACAAATAGCCACAAGAAAAGTAATGCAATGTTGTATAAAAAAGAGAGAGGTGGGAAGAGTGAGCAATGAACTGTGGAGGATTTCATTAGACTCTGAAGCTCCTGGAGTAAACGTAATGATGGGTCACACCCTTGGCCGAGGAATTGAAACTAGGTATATACCAGGTTTGGGTGAGTGGTTTGTCATCCAAGGAGCCATGTCCCGTTGAATGTATCCGAAGTCTAGCACCTGTTGCACCTCCGAGTTGCTGTTTACTCTCGTGAAATTTGCAGACAGCTGATCCTGGGCATGTTGGTGTTTGACCCAGGGACCTGTGGAAGGACTGGGGCCGAGGAGGAGGTCACTGCACTAAACTCAAGTGACTCATCCCCCAGGACTGGATTTTAAGACTCGACGGTCGGGACACTGCACGGTGGTATGTTCACTTTTCCAAACCGAAAGCTGCCAAGGATACCGGCAGGGAGAAGCTGCCAGCGTTGCGCGTAGTGATGCCAGGCCTGGCCATTGAAGATGACACTGCAACGGTGTGCCGTGACCGTTTGTGGATGTGGACAGATTCCTTGCTTGAGAACTCAGGTTTTGACGGTTCTTTTCTTATACACTTGCAGCAAGTGTGCATTGTGCATGCTTTCTGGAGCTTGCTGTGACCGCGTTGGAGCTTGCCCTCTCGCACCACACCCACATCTCAAGTTGCTGAGGAAAATTAAGTTCGGGTAGCTGCGCAAGTCCTGTGACATCCACATTCTTCAAAGGCATGACCCCCTTGCACAATGTTCTGATACCTTCCCTACCCCTACCCCTGCAAAGGAGAATATAGAACAATATTAAAATGGAAAACATTCTGCTTCTAAAGAAAGGGTCTTCCAAGGGGCTGCCCACTTCCGTATGTAACTGTTTGATGGAGCCTGCGGCGCCATCCTCACGTCCGCTTCAAAGGCCGCCAGAAGATACCAGCCTTTGGTTGAGTGGGCAGCGCTTAGCGGTTGTGATGCTGCAGCTCAATCAGCCAAACGCTGTCCCTGGAGGCGGTCGTTGTCTTGCTGTGGGAACAGGGACACCAAAAAGGGGTTCTGTACCGCACCAGGAGTGCTTTCAACACATTGGTCATGAATTGCTGATGATTGCTGCGTGCCTACAACTAGCACTTTGTCCGTACCACCACTGCGATTAGCCTCCCAAGAATTAAGTATCTCACAAATTCTAACAATAGAAACAGATTCTGCCAAACTTCCCAACTCTGGCGTTACAGTGTCCTTGCTTGTTCACCAGAAACTAGCATGTGACTGTTGGTTTTTGTTCAGCGGGTTGTGGCGGCGTGCCTCCTTTCTTGGGGAGGGCCAGATGCCACTGCCAAGAACAGGGGATACAATGAGCAAAGGCCAAAACTCGTTCTCAAGAGTTGTAGATGTGAGCAGCCATGGCATACTCAAGAAAAACTGTGGGGAAATTCTTCCAGAGTCTATCTAGGATGACTTGAGTATTTGCTGGAATATATATATATATTAATATATACTGCAGCCCCTCCTTCCTTTTTCTCACAGCCACACGAGGGATGGCCCGTTCGCCAGATGGCTTGACGGACTTCCCCAACTTAGAGGAAGGCCGTGGCCTGCAGCTCTCACTAACCCGTGGCAGTGCCTTGATTTGGCCCACGGTGAACCAGGACAGACGTGCGACGCAGTTTGGATGCCACCAGGATTCTTCTGGGCAATCCTATTGATGCGCCTGTTCCGCTTCTTTTTCGGAATGTCCTTGCCGTTTGTGACTCCCTACAGCTTCTTGTTACTGTAGTAGCTACTTGCTCCTAGTAGTACAGCCAGGAGCCCCTAGTAAGCATCCTTGCTCCTAGTAGCGATGCCAGGAGCCCCTAGTAGCTTCTCGTTCCTCTTCTCCCTTTAATTGCTGGTTCGACCGACGTTCAATTGCCGGCCATCGCCCGTTTCGCCACGTCGCCGGTGGAAACCGTGAGGACGGAACCCCCACCGAGCTCGCCCAGCGACGGGCCTTGCCCCTGAAAACGCCCGGCCAGGCGCGTGCACGAAACGCGCGGTCGCGACGGCGACAGCAGAGGGGGGAAGAGGGATTGAAGCATGAGGCTTTGAGAATCACTAGGTTCCAGGTATGATGCATTGTATTAACTTGGATGGGAATCCGATGGCCAATAATGCATAGTGATGATGGTACCATTATAATGCTATTATCGGATTAAAGCCATTTACTGTGCCCACTATCAATCATATTCAACATTCATCACCACATGTTGACATGGTGCCAATCCTGGGATCCTTTGAGTCAATGACTCCATGCGGCAACCCGATTCTGTGCGTCCAAAGCCGGGTGTCCCGATTCGACAGATTGGTGCTTCAGGGTGTCCCGATCCAGCCCTCCTCACTCTCTCCCCCTTCTTCCCGACTTTCGCCCTGAAAACACCTGTTCCCAGCTTCATCGCTCCCTTAGGCCAAACACTGCCACGTCTGACTGGGAAAGGAGGATCCACCTGACACGCATCCAAGGTAAAATATCTCGCCCTCACTTGGCTTCGCGTCGGCCCCGCACCCGGTGAGTCCGGGGGTGCACCTGCGTGACGAGAAAAAACCGCGACGGAGTGCCTCTTGAGCGCCTTTTTTTTTGCTTTGGGGAAAGAGACTCAAGCACGGCCACCTGGTTCGGGGCAGCGGGTTTTTGGGATGCTTTTGGAGTTGCCCTCCCTTTTTGTTGGGTCGGTCTGAAGATCCACCAAATGCTGTCGCCGGGTCCAGGAGGTCCAGGTGGCACCCGAAGTTGACTCATGAACTTAGTAGGATTTGAGTACGTTTGTGGGCAACAAGAAGCACCATCCATCCAAATCCCTTTCGCCAGTTCCATGAAAAGGACTTCACTTGACAAGAATTGTCTAAGTTGTCAAGAAAGGGATGTGGGATGAATGCGTTTTTGGCGTGGACTGAAAAATGGACTCAACCAAAACATCATCCTGTGGAGGGGTAGGGCAGGCTTCGTGGATTAACAACCTGGCAATCCCTTCTTGAGGGATCATTGAGCCACAAGAAATCTACAGGTGAAAGCGGACTTGCACCCCTTCTTTGGGTTTGGATGGGAGCGAACAAGTGTGAAAAGATTCAATGATTGGGGTTTCTTGGGCTCAACCATCACCCAGTGTAGTTACACGACCCCTGAGGCATTGTACTCATGCATGGTGATTGGAACTGGAGCACCATGGAGCACACGAGGCTCAAGGCTATGAGGAGGTGGTCAAGAACTTGCCGCTCATCGAGGCTGCTTTGCAAGGCCGGCCACCGGTACCGTATGGCGTAGCGATGCGTAGGGTAGGTCGAAGTTCGAGGTCAAGTGAAGCAACGAAAATGAGTCAACATGCAGGGCTCCACCGGTTCTCAGTGGCATTGTTGGTGCAGTCCCAAAGGATTCTTAAGGAACTTGAGCTCTTGACATGGTCTTATTTATATATTACATAGCTATGTAGCTGGAGTCTCAGCTAAGAGTGGTTACCGGAAGCGTTGGGATGTTATAGCTTTTGGCGCCTGCAGTTTAACTAGCTTACTCAGTCCACTGCATGCAAGTGTCATAAGTACTGCACTTCACAATCGGTGTATCCAAGTGGTGTTTTGCCATCGGTTCATCTAAAGGGCTGACCCAGTGTTGGTCAATCTTTGGATGATCACCTCACTGGTGACGTAATGTATCCTAATGTGGCGCAAAGTGATTCAAATCTGAGCAGGTGCTTGGTTTCGGCTTCCTTTGCGTAACACGCACTGATACACCTGTTTCATTACTGTATCATGACCGCCCACCTGCGGGTAACTAAGTCCAAAGATATCCAAAGGGAAAGAGTGTTTGATAGTTTTTGTATCTAGATCTGATTGGAAGCCGGATTTCATCGGATTTCCCTCAGACGACCTCGTGTCCCTTATAAGCCAGACCAGACACCCCCAGCGGCCTCGAGCCCATCGAGGTCAACAGCGCACGGTGAAGGACCTCTACTCGGCCTTGGCGTGTTGCAGTCGTAACGCCCTCAGTGGGAGCGGTCCAAGTGTGGAGCGGTCAGTGGGAGGGTGAATCGAAGCAATTAGACTCTTGATAAGACTCTTAGTCAACCCTCTTGAAGGGCTCGAAGTTGGCATTGATCATTCAACCAGCAGCAGACTTTTAGGCAACAAAGCTGAACCACCAGGCTGGTTGCACAAACTAGAGTAGAGAAACTAGATGTCTCCCTTAACCCCGCAGGCTTCCTCCCAAAGGCTGGTTTCTCAAAGACATCATGTGATCTATACCTATGACTTACCCACTTCTGCCCCAGGTGTAGTGAACAGTCATCCACTTCATGTGCTCAACAGTCATCCACCTCTCGGAGATCCACGGTTCCGAACCGTCATCGCCCGAGGATGCGAGGCTCCCTGCGAAGAGGTGGGCGCCGGGGACCCTCAGATCGGGGGGACCCAGAAGAGATCTCCAAAACCACAAACTTGCGCCTTGAAAGGCTCCTTGCCGATGTTTCATGTGTTGGCCTCCGAACAATGGTGGAATTTGGCTTGGATCCCTCGATGCGCTTCAAAAGCATTCAACAGCACCAAATTCGACATCCATTTTGGCTCGAAGCAAGCTTCCGCCAGCAAGCATGGCGTGAGGAGGAGAGTGGTTTGAGGTGGGACGTGGGGCCAATGGCCAGAGTCGTCGGTGATCGTTTCGTTTCGCCATGAAAAGCGACTTGCGATGAGTGCGCAATCTTGTACAGGTCCAGTAGATATTGGACAGCGGTTCTAGGCGGCTCCTTTAATTTTAAGGTAACAACTTTTAAGCCATGCTCTTCTATGAACTGCTAAGAACCTTCATCTTCATAAAGCAGTAAAGGGTTATAGTCACGCTCGTTGCATAGTGGTGCGGGGTTTTCTTTGTTGTCACCGAGTTCCTCCAGGGCAAGAGTCATCCCATGCAGCGCTTGCCCTGGGTCCTTTGCTGCGCATGGGCCGCCGCGCAGCCGCGGCTCACGCCAAGCCAGCAGCAGGTGGGTCAGCGAACGGATGAGGGGATGCTCCAGGTATTGGCGTTTAAGATCAGATGGGAATTGTTTAAAGGCTTTCTTTCGTTCTTTAAAGTGAACATGACGCCTTTAACTTGGCCTCGCCTTCTCCCCTCCAGGTCATCGACCGCGCGAGGAACGCCTCGCGCAACGCCTCCGATGCGGCTGAGGAGCAGATCGCGGCCGCTGGGAGAGGGAGGGTAACTGGGGCGTTCAACGGAGAAAAGGAAACACCCTGGTTGGGATATTTTCCCTTTGAGCTGGTTAGGAGAGATATTTCCGGAAAACAAGAGGGATGCGTTCAAAGAGCTGGTTGGGATGGTTTGGGTCCCTTGAAAGAGTTTTTGAGTCTTGAGATGTCTTGAGTCAAGTTGGGAGCATCCAAGAAAACGCCTTCAAGCGGCGGACCTTACACCAACAGGCGGACCTCTTTCGTTCGTGGTTGTTCCATCGCGACCCGGTGGGATGTTCTTGCGCAGTGAACCTGGTGGGGCACATGGAAGGGGGAACCCCGAGGGTAGATGTCCCACAAGGGTAGCGAACGACCGGGTAGCGAAAGAGTCAGAGAGACGACAAAGAATTATATATAGCTAAAGTATGCTAAACTGAGGTTCGTGTGGGGAAGCTTCGATGTTGCTGGAGTTTCATTTTTTGTCCGGGGATGGTTCAGTTCTCGTTTCGTTGAATGCGTTGGAGAACTTGCAAAGTACGATGGGACGCACTAATTAAGGAGGGGATGTTCTTTCCTGCAGGCCAGGCAGGCAACAATACACCCTGGAAAGTACGCTGGAAGAGACCCACATGGGTTTGGTCCATCATTTTCGGGTTCCATGTGGGTTGACCTTTTCCATGTGTCGCCATTTTCTGTTTGAACTGACAACGCTCAGGTCCAGCTTTAGTGCTTTTTGGGAATTCTTGGAGACCCGTCCAAATCGCAACTTAAAGCATGCACCGGGAAAAAAACAAACAAGAGCAAACAATGAGAAGCTAGAAAACAGCGGAATGTAGATAAATGCAGAGCAGCTCAAAAATTAGAAAGGTAGAAAAACATAGAAAGACAATGTACGTTTCTGTAAAGAACGAGAAACCATTTAAATGGCATGCTAAATATATACAAGTGGGTCAAATGAGGACTGCTCAAACTTTCTGGTTTTACGACTCAAGTGCCACATACACGTCTTACACCTTACACGTTTTACACCATGTGAAGCATCTCTCCGAGTCACCTTTTCGAGGCGCAGTTTGCCACGTTGGGCTTCCGCATGGAAATGCAGCTGCAGGGCCAAGGGGGGCGGCACCTGGCGATGTTGAGCGCCAGTGCCTTGCTGCAGTCCCTGAAGGCGACGGCTTCAACGCGACGCTCGGTGTCCGGTCGGTCCGACCTGTTGGGGTCGAGGTTCTTCCGGTGGAGGACGGGACGAACATGCGTGTAGTATCGTGTGATGTGTGTCAAGCATCATGTTGGGTTTGGAGAAGGCCATGCAGAAAGAACCCCCCAAAAGGACACTCAGTTGCAGGATGTTCAAACACATGTCCATCCACCCATCCATCCATCCATCCAGGATGTTACATGTACATGCTGATATGAGTTAATACGCACGGATGATCACGGATGTATTTTAAGTTATGTTAACATCCTGGAACAGAGTGTCCTTTGGGGGCTTGTGTCTCAGTGTCATACATTTGGTTTGCATGAGAAGCCTTATCACTTGGGAGACAGAACACCCTCGATCCATTTTGGCCATTCAGAATTGGTCTAACCATCAAGTTCCAGACTTACAGTATTTCTTGGAGGCTTCAGGACCCACCCACTCCAAGATGATTTGTCCATATTTGTCCTATAAACGCCAGGAATACGAATCGATGGGCGAATCCACCGAATGACGAACCACGACTCCAGACCACGACGCCGCTCCGTCGCGGCTCCGCAACGCGGCTCCGGCTCCGCCCGCGAGGGCGCCTTGGCCCAGCTCGAGTGGGTCACCAACTTCGGCCTCGACGCTGAGAGCCTCAAAGCCCACCCGGGCGAATCGGTGCCTGGACCAAAGGAATCCAAAGGACGAGGAGGTGGGAGGGAGCGATGATCATGGATGGCAAGGGTTGTGTTTGTTGTGTTTTCTTTGTATGTGTATGTGTGCGTGTGCAGTTGGGGTCACCAATTTGAAATGATTTGAAATGGCTGACTCAATACAAGCGGAACTGGGGTGTCCATTCAGACAGGTGGTATCAAGTCATGTTTGTTGCTTGCCATTCAATACTGAGCGAACCTCTTTGGATAGCAGTGGGAGAAATGATTTGGACAGGGTTCGTTGTCTTCATCGTCTCATCGTCATTCATCAAACAAGTTCATTGAAAGTACGAAAGCCAGCCGATAGGCTAGGCTGAAGTTGGTGCTGCGAGTGACGGAGGCACTGCATCACGAGCATCATGACTACCCGAGAGTAGCACATATGTCTGGTCCTAACATGTCTGGTAAGTCCGACTATCTTCGGGTCAGATCACCCTATAGGTGATGCGGATGCAGGGTCGACCGGTCCCACGGTCGACCCCGATGGTGTTGCAAGGGCAGAAGGCATTGAGAGGAGGTGAGCTGACTAGGTGCGCAAGTCCAGGCAGAGGACAGGAGACGGGAGACCGAATGTATTCAGGAACCTCTAAGCTTCAAACTGCCATCGGGACAGCGTTCCGAAAACTCAGCACGGAAGATATTTGCAAGCTTCATGTTGACAACTGGAGCGGTTCATACGTTCCACGACCTACCTGGGCCCCGCCCCGGAATACCACTTAAAATATAAGTTAGCGGGGCGGCAGACGGACCACGAAAGTGAACAGCATTTCTTGCATCATGCTATGTTCCTGCATTCTGGTGTTGTGGCAGTTCATCGCCCCGGTAACCTGTACTTTTGGGTCCATTACCAGGGCTGGGGCTCGTGGCCGATGGCAACGGACAGCGGCCCAAACACTAGCGGCTAGCGCAGAGAAAATGTACCTTTCACCCCCTGTGAGGTCTTGCTCGGGGAGGCTGACCTTGCAGCTTTCCGATGGGGATAGACTAGCCTTTAAGTTGCCCTGGCTACTGCCCCTTTGCATCGCTTACCGAAGAAAACTGGTCCCATGTGTGAAGTGCAGAGCACCTCCAAGGAAGCCTCTTATATAACCTTTCCTAACCAGTTAACGCGTCTCCATCACCTGCGTGTCCTCCTGGCTTTCGTTTCCCCCTTCTCGGGTTGGTGAGTCGTGGTGGGTCAACCAGCAGCAGTAGCCCTACAGGCCCATACCCCCCTTGGATTGTCTCGAGGATGAATGTACACACGAGCGCCATGGAGAAGTAACATGAAGTAACAACATACATCAATATACATCATACCATGTGACAGCGATTGCGATCCACCCCCCCATCCTCCGCTTTTCCCCAAAGATTGTTTTTTGCGCGGTGCCATCCCCAAAGAGTACGGCCGATCCTTTCTTTCGCCTCTCGATGCGGATGGCCTCGGCCGCCGAGGCCTTTGGCATCGACACTTTGGCCCGGTACGGTGGCCGCTTTCCCACGATGTGGGAACTCTTGGCCGAGAACTCCTCCTTGGTCGCCGACGTTTCGGAGAAGCAATGGGGCTCCTTTGGTGCCCAAAAGAGAGAGACGCGTCGGTCGCAGGCGAGACTTGGTTTTTTGGGCGCTCCTGCAGGAGCTGGCGTAAATCGAGACCGAGGTCCACCAAGGCTTAAGATGTTAAAGGGAAAAAAACAGTTTTCCTTGCCTTGGCCAATTTCTCATGTGGCGGAAGACATTGAGACAGAGGCAGGCACCTGTTGTACTGTTGTTTATCCTGAAGTCCATCATTTTTGGCTGATTCGCGGCAGTTTGTTTAGGGATGTTCACTTGACTGTTGCAGGTCGCGTTTAACATGTTCCTTGAGCTTCGCCCCGCCCTATCGTTTCTGCAGGAGGGCCTCATTCAAACCACGTTTAAATATATAAACACAACTCAAACCCCTATGAGGACTTCGCTGTGCCTTGTACACTCGACGCAGCCCAAAACCGCATCGCAAAAACGCTTCCCCTCAAAAGGGTGGCCGGCTGAACCGCCGGCATGACTCCCGCGCCCTTCTTGGCGTGAACACGCTCCTTCCGCCGCCTTTTCTCGACCGGACGAGGCGTCATGGAGGCGGCCGAGACCGGGCTCTACCGGCTGCCGCCCTTTGCCGCGTCGCCCTCGCGCTTCTCCCCGCCCACGGTGCAGGAAGCCCAGCAGCGGCCCAGGCGGAGGGTGTTCACCGTTTCACCTACCTAGCTGACCTGGCTAGGCACTGCTAGGGACCAAGCACTCTTTTTTGGTGTGAACGGGTGTGAAGATGGGCGAAGGCTATTTGTTGGCTCTTAGTTTGGGGAGGATGCA